CGGCTGCGCCCGCGGAGCCCTGGAGGCGCCCGGCGAACCCCGCGCCCTGCCTGCAGCCTCGGGCACGGTGCAGGGCGGGGAGGAGGAGGGCTTTCCTCGCGGCCCCCCGTGTGTCCCGGCACAGCGGGGAGCGGGCCCTGGCCCTGCGGGCCCGGGAGAAGCCGTGCCCTGGGGCTGCACCCCACATCGCGGGCGGCCCACGCCGACTCCAAGCGGAGGAGCAGGACGCCGGGCAGTGAATGGTGCAGCTTCCTTCCAGGAGGCTACTGGCCCTGGGGTCAAGGCCTTGGGGTTTAAATACAGACCCATGTTGGATGTACCGAATAGATCCATCAGTCTGCCCTGCCCTTAAAAAAAACCCCTCCCTCTAATGTCTGCCAACATAGAGGTAGGTTTTGTTTTTTTTAAGGGCAGGATAAACCAATGGATCTATTCAGTACATACAATGTGGGTACTCTGCTCCCAGCATCAGGGGCTAGGATAAGCAATGCTCCAGCAGCTGTCAGTGTTTTACCTACCAGGCTGTCTAATGCAAAGATGATCTCCAGGATATGGTGGTTAAAATGCTAGTAGTTGCAAGTCCCTTGTCTACATTAGGGCCCCCAGTGGAGCTGAGTGATGTGAAAAAAATGCATTTTGGGGAGCAAGGAGTGAAAGTCCTGAGAAACTAAACAGCTGCTGAACAGAGAAAGGTCACCTTGGGCGCAAAGATCTGGCTCACCAGTTCAGCTATAGGTCCCTGCTTCTTGGCTGTATTCCATAATCTGATACAGATTTGAATGCAGCTTCTGAACACATCACTTCCTCCATCCTCCTTATGTGCGCTCTCTTGTCAAAAATCAAATGCCTCCTCTCTGTATCTAAAGGCCCACACTCAAATACACCCACAGAGACAAGTTTAGGGTAGACTGCTGTGGTGTGCATCCACAGACTCAGATCTGATGCGAGACAAATCATTTCAACCCCCAAGTTGAGGTCCTGCAAAAAATACAGGCCACTGCACAACTCACCTTTCTCCAGGAATCAAACAGATTTCTCTAATCCACCATTATCTCCCTCTCTGGTATGTGGCCATTAAGAGAGAACTCAGATGTACAGAATGACTGTTCCTTTGGGGAAGTGTTGCTCATAGATGCAGATTATACCTTCCCCATGATTTATGACTACCGTCTCTATTCCTTTCCTATCTCCCATGGCCTATTGTCAGTTCCTGTCTTAACTCTGACTGTCAGCTCTTTGGGGCAAGGACCATTCCTTTTGTTCTGCTTTTACAGGGTTCAGCACACCGAAGTCCCTGGTTCATTATGGGCTCGTAGGAACTCTCTCGGTCCAAATCAGTAAAGCTGTCTGAAAAGCTGAACATCAAAGATGGGGCCTCCCCCTAAGTGTGGAGTGCCATGGCTATCACTGGCCTGTAATGATTTATGTTGTGCATTATGTTTGCTTTTCTGGTACATTCACCTTAATGTTATTGTGATTCACCTGGTCAATTATTATTATAGCCCACGGGCAGGGCTGGGTGATATAAAAACTACTGTCTGGCAGACCAGGAACTGTAACGGGCACTAGTCAGAGGTTTCAGCCACCCTGGCTCATGGCAGCACTTCATGGAAACCATCGCCATTGATGTATTTGACCTCTATAAATAAATAGCATAAAAACAAATATACCCACACAAAAATTCTCACTGTTTTAGAGGAAGACAAGAGAGACAAATATGAATGGGATCAGTGGGCTTTTTGTGCCATTCTTCCATAATACAACAGAAAGAAATTTCGGGACCCATCACCACATAGCCAGAGTATCCACAACCCCCCCTCGGCCCCCCGCTTACCAAAGATTTGTCTCCATCTCAGCAATAGAAGTCTTGGAGGCTGTTTCTACTTGTAGATGAACAGCAGCCATGGTTGGAAGGATATGGGAACAGCTGCAGGCCAACGGGCTTTTTAACAACATTCTTCAGAGCATTATTGCATGACAAACACTACACTCTGCCTCTGGGGGCAGGTCAAAGCACTGCAACAACGATTACTGTCAAAAAGCCACATCCAAGCTGGCCTCCATGGCTGTGCCAGGGGTGGACATTTTATTTAGCTGATGAGGCCTGGCCTGGCAACTTGCCCGCAGCCAAGGAGTTTGCACCTAACTGACAACATGGAGCACAGGTGCGACCACCCCTGTCTTCTATATAGAAGCAAAGCCTGTAGAAGCTAGAGCCCAGCTGACAGTGCCCTTTCTACTTCCAAGCTGGGACTCAACTGTGGACTACAGCACTATGTTGGGGATGAAGAAACCTCTAACCAAGGGCATTACATTCAGCTGCACCCTGGGGCTGGATCTGGCCCACAGTCCATATGTTTAACACCCCTGTTCTAAACTTTCTCTCTGTAGACTTACACAGGCTATGCTGTGGTCATCCCTACTCTACTGAGCATTTGCTTGAGCAGACTGTTGGCATCTGACACACTTACACGTCACCACTTACAGGTAGTGGGAACAGGTGCATGCTGGGTGTGGAGGAGGACTGAGAACACAGTGATAACACTATCTCGCCCAGCAAATAAGAGTTATGGAAAAAATTGCTTTGGCTGCAGTGACTCCCCACACACTTTCACTTCCAACCTTAACTGCAAAGTCAATATTTTCAGAGCCTGGACGGTATTTTTAAAGAGAGTTATGCAGCAATATCAGGATGGGGCCTCTTCGTAATATATGAAAAGAACTTTGCTTTCCCTCTTCCATCAGAGACAACAGCCAATACAGCCCTTTTATCTGCCGTTGTATTCCACATTGCTCACTACCCTCTCTCTGCTGCAGGACCTTGAAAAGATCTGTGAAGGACAGAACATCCAATTGCAATCTGAGCTGCAGCTTTCCCAGCCTTTATCAGAGGGATGCTAACTCTGATCCAGATCTTCCAACTGTAATCGGAATAGCACCCTCGCTTACTCAGTAATGACCTAGGGTCTTTTATCTGTTGCTATACAATAGGCAACTGTTCATAGAAATCATAGAGTAGGGCTGGAAGGGACCTCAGGAACACATCTAGTCTAACCCCCTGCCTGAGGCAGGAAAGGTCAAGAAAGGCCCTTCCATCACCCAGCTTAAAGGCAAAGGCCCCCAGCACACTAATTCTACCACCTGAAGCTGCAGCTTACAGACAGCAGTGTTCTTGTAAACATGCAGAACCTGCCACTGGTTTAAGCCAGAGTTGTTCAGCCCACGGGGCTTGTTGATGCAGTTGTCAGAGCTGCTGTACTGGAGCAGCTCTTGAGTCTATGGTATGAACTCTGCTGCTTGACCTGGGCTAACTTTGGGGTCTTAGGTCACTGTTGGTGACCAAATCAACAGCAGGGGAAAAGGAAGAGCAAGTGGCAGCCAGACTTGCACCAATGCAGTGACTCCAACAGCCACACTGAGCCACTGCTGCCCTGCTGTTAGAGATGGACCATCTGGCCCCTGAGACTTGTGGTCTGGATCCAGCACACAGGGCCAAATGACTTGGACAGACCTGATTTAAACCATGTGTCTCAGGCCAACTTGCTCCTTTGCATGCTCCCCCCTTCTCACTATGA